GGGAAGGAGAAAAATTTGGAGCTCAAAATATTATAAAAATGAACGCTAAAAATTTTCTTGACCATGTAACTGGGGGAAAATAAAGTGCTATTAAAAAAACATAGATCTCAGTACTTTGTCTTGGTATCTGTTCTTCCATTTTAGGTGAAGGACACTGAAGATGGCTAGGAACTGGTTAGTCTGAAAAGGTCGAGAAAGCAAACCACCAAAAGTGAGGGAATCCAGGAATGAAATCCATGCCAGGTTTTGCAGCTAGCCTGGCACTGAAGCCCTGGGGAGCAAGGAGTGACCTGGATTAGTAGCTGATATGAGGACTCTCCATCTGGATCTGAATTTAGTGCCACCAATAATATCAAGAAATGGTGTTAAATCAGAGCCCATTCTCCCCAGTCACTGAGGTGGTATAGGGGAGAGTGTACTCCCAGAGGTTGAGGAAAATGTTTGTCTTTTTGTTTTTGCTATACATTGGAAGTAAATGTCCCTTTGTTAAAGTTAGTTGTCTGGTTAAGTAGAATATGGTTACTACAGTTATCCCTTCCAAATCCCAGGGATTAGGGGGACTCCACCCTTATGATCTGGAAAATCTGTGTAAAATTTTTTGGCCCTCCCTTTGTACCAGAGAAGTCTGAATTTTTTTTCTTTTTCTTTTATGGAGTGTTTATAGTACCTTATTGTCAAATTTGGGTTAAGTATTTGGTCATAGGTTCTGTTATGTGCTGGCCTTCCTGTGTAGTCTGCGGCTTCCACAAAACTCCCCTAAAATTCCCATTTAATTTCTTATGCTGACCTGCCATATATCGAAACTTTGACTGGGAAAGTCACAATGTGGAAGGGATAGCTGTAGTCACTGGTGGCTAACAGTGAGGCGAACACATTGGAATTGAAGACATTAGCAGAAGTTACCCCAACCCCTCGGGGAGGAGTGAGGTGAGAGAACACTGGCTATACAGAGAATACACAAATAGAATAAACACAATATAAATACACAATACTGAGAATACACCAACAAACCGTATTATACCTCAGTGAATCCAAAGACTCTAACGACTGGTTTAAGGGCTCACAATTTGACAAAAACAGCTAGGAAAACTGGAAAATAAGTCTAGGAAAAATTAGGCTTAGGTCACCATCTCACATTATATGCCACAAAAATTCATCAAATGGATATGTGACTTAGATATAAAAGAGCATATCATAAATAAATTAGAGGAACAAGAAAGAAAATACCTTTGGTAACTATGGATAGAAGAGTTCCTAACCGAACAAAGAACAGAAAGTATCACAGATGATAAACTGGAAATGCTGATTATATAAAATTGGAAAGTTTTTGCACAAATAAAACTAATGCAATTAAAACTAGAAGGAAAATAGTTATTAAGGAAAAAAAATCTTTTTGAATCAGGTTTTTTTTTCCCCAATAAAGGTGTGGATAGCAAAAGTATATAAGGAATTGATTCGAATAGAATAGCCATCATGCTTCTAACAAATGTGCAAAAATAATAGTCATTGAGGGGCAGGTGGGTGGCGCAGTGGATAGAGCACTGGCTCTTGATTCAGGAGGACCTGAGTTCAAATGCGGCCTCAGACACATAACACTTACTAAATGTGTGACCCTGGGCAAGTCACTTAACCCCATTGCCTAGTCCAAGAAAAAAAAAAAAGAATAATAGTCATTGCCCAATAAATAAACGGTCAAAAGATAAGAGCAGACAATTCTCAAAGGAAAAAATCTAAGCTAGCAACACCATATGGAAATAATGCTCTTAAACTCTAATAATGAGAGAAATACAATTCCACCTCACATTCATCAGATTGCCAAAGATGACCAAAAAGGAAAATGACAATTGTCAGAGTGGCTGGGGAAAAGAGTCACACCAATGTACCACTGGTAGAACTGTGAATTGATCTAACAATTCTGGAAAGCAATTTGGATCTATAACTCAGAAGTCACTAAACCAGGTACACCTTTTGAATCACAAGTAAAACTATCAAGCTTTACCCCAAAGGGATAAAACAAAAAAAGGAGAAGACCTATATGTATGAAAATATTGAGAGTAGTTCTTCTTGTAGCAAAGAACTAGAAAAAAAGGCAAAACCTGTCATTTAGCATGTGGTTAGAAAAATTATGATATGTGAAAGAAATGAAATATTATTGAGATATAAGAAATGAGGAAACAGAGGGTTTCAGAGAAACCTGGGAAAACTTGTATAAGAAATAATGCAAAGTGAAGTGAGTAGAACCTGGGGAATGATTTATACAAAAACAATAACACTAATAAAAAACCTTATAAGACTTAACTCTTATCAATGCAATGACCACCCACATTTCCAAAGGCCTAATGATGAAGTATGCTACGTAGGGAGCAAGACAGAGAGGTGAGGAACGCAAGGTATAAATAACCGTGCATTTTCAAACCTGGATAATGTGAGAAGTTTTGTTTGGCTACATTTATTTGTTACAAAGTTTCTTCTTTCTTTTTTCTTTTTTTCCAAGGAGGGGGGATTGGTAAGCAGAGTGAAGTTAAGCTATTGGGTTGTCGAAAGAACAAAAAAAAGAGGGTCTTTGAAGCATGTTTTTTTTTTTTTAAAGGCACACAGATAACAAAAAAAAAAGAAAAAGAAAACCAGAAGGTAACACAGACAAGCAAGACAGCTTTGAAAGTTACCTGTTGAGTTTATTATCTACTTAAAAAGGCAAAGCCCTGCATAGTAGAGATTTATGTTTTCACATAAAATCCTCCTTTTCTGTTTTACTTTATGCATGGAGATTCTAATTTATTTGGTGTTCGTTAATTTCATAAAATGAAAATTAAATTTAAAATGAATTATTAGCTAGGAATCAAAAATGATCTTTGACTGTTTAAAAAGTCAGGCATACTCCATCTATGTGAGGGGGAGAGTAAAAATCAATGTGCTAAAAGTTAGGTTAGAAAGAAGCAGGAGGCTGCATGTACTTGGATTTTGTTTTGTTTTGCTTTTCCTAATATTTTGTTATTAATTGCTGTGATCATGGAGTAAAAAGTAAATTAACTACTCTAAGTTTTACTTGTAAATAAATGTTTAGTTTGGTGTAGCATTTCCCTGAGACTTTTTAGTTGTAAATGACATTTACAGTACATGAGAGGCTTATAAAGCACTTTACATAAATTACTTCACTCAATCCTCACAACAGCCCTGTCAAGTAAGTGTTGTTAAAAATCATCCCCATTTTGCTGATGAGGAAATTGTGACTTGCTTTTATGGCTAAACACCTAGGAAATATTAGCAACAGGATTGGAACTCAGGTCATTTTGGACTCCCAGTCCAAGATTCTTTCAACTACACCATGCTGTATTATACTGCCATCTCCCACCACCATGTTTGAAGAACAGAAAATGCAGGTGTCCCAAAGAACAATGGGAAGAAACATGGCGAGTATAAGTAGGCTTCAGCATATTATCTACTATGACTTACACACAAGAATATTGGTGAAAGACGTTATCCTGAAAATACATGACCAGAAATGGAGCATTCAGTGGGAGCAAAGAATAACATAACAGATGGACAACCTGAGTGCTGGACTGGTACCCGTGGGCTGTCCAAAGACACTGAGGGAGACCTCTAGTACATTAGGTAGATCATCTTAGGAGTTTTTATGAAGGGGGATAAACTAAGATCTCACAGGACGAGAAAGCATGGATGGCTTGTGGTCTGTACTATTGAATCAACATATTCCTATTTATTAGTCTTAAGTTGTTAGCTCAGATCCATATGGCTTTGCTCCTCAAATCATCACCACACATGTAAGAATCTTAGGATAATAATAACATTATTATTATGTAATTAATTAATCTTAACTCGAGAGCTGTAAGGGAGCTTGAAGGTTATCTAGTTTAATTTCCTCAGTCAGTCAAATAGCAAACATTTATTAAGTGCTTGCTATATACTACATAGTGACTTGCCTAAGCTCATAAAGGTAAGAAGTGGCCTAGCTGAGATGTTAATTTAGGTCATGTGATTCCAGGTTCAATGCCCTTCAGTTCAGTGATTCCACACCTTACCACTGGTGCCCCGTAATCAAGGGAGAGTCAAATCACACAGAGGATGTAACAGGTCTAAGACTTAGCACAAATAGTGACAGGAATATCAAAGCTGTGATTAAAAAAAAGGAGTGGGGGGACAACCTTGAAGGCAGAAAGAAGAGGAAGAAGAATAAAATAGGAGGGGAGAAGAGGGATGGGGAAAACAATAGAGAAGCAGAAGCAAATAGGATAAAGAAAAAAACACCTGACAAAATAGCACTTCTTTAATACTTTGAAAGATCTGCGATTTAATTAGTGTGGGCACTCTCTATACCAGACCTGCACAACTTGGCAGTAGGTAGGGGCCAAAATTAAAATAGGCTAAACTTCTTCGGGTCACAAATAGGTTAGACTACATACAGATTGACGATGGTTGGTTGCCATGGCTCACGTGACAAACAGGAGAGCGCGTGCAGTGGCAACCCTACATTTTTCGTGGGCCATCCAAAATCCTTGGCCTGTGGGCTGTATGCTGTGCACACCTGCTCTATGCCAACCCTTCTCTCTATACCTTAGCAGATATCTTCATAAATTCTTATGGTTAAAAATAAATTCATCATCAGGGAACCCACCTTCTGGTGAGGTGCCTCTTAGCATCCAGCTAGGCTGATCCTCAGATGACAATCATCTAGTTCATTGCCAGTTCTATCCTCCTTCCTATCTTGATAGGACTTTCCAAAACTTGTAGTCCTCTGCTATATAGCCTTTGAGATCTCAGGGTCATCAGCATGTTGTGACAAAGCAGAGGAGTAGAACTTTGATGGAGGTGAAAATATCACAGGTGGCCTTTAATTCTTTAAAGAGCCATTCTCCAATATCCTTAAAATCTCCTTTGCTTCCCTCAAAAGTTCATTGAAAGTGTTTCAGAGAAACCAAAAGGCTAGGCTGGAGCCACATTAGGGAAATTATGTAAAGCAAAAAAGGCAAAGACTTGAGTACCTGAAGGTAAACTGATTGCATGCAGAAGGGTTGTCATTAATGTCTTCAATGATGAAGGTTATCTGAGTGCGGTTCTCCTGACCCCCTTTGGGTCTGTCCTTCACAAGAACTTCCAGAAGGATATTCGGATTTTGCTTCAGTTTACCAGCATCTCGATTTAGCCTACTGGCTATTTGAATGGTACCAGTCACTAAGCAGACAGGAGACAAAGGGAAGAACTTGACCTCTTGAAGAGGACCGAAGAATGGTTACATAGGTACTTATCTAGAGCTTAAAAGCTCAGGAAAAATAGGAATAAGGTTTCCTTATATGAGGGTGGCCTGTGGTAGGATGGGATTGGATTTCATCAATTTTGGAGGCTCACAGGACAGTAGAATTAGAGCTAGAAGGGCCTTGAGAGGCCCTTCATTTTATGGATAAGGAATTTGAGACCCAAAGTAGTTAAGTGATTAGTCCAGGCTCACGACAGAGAACTAGCAGCAGGGAGAGGATTCAAACTAAAGTCTTTTGAATTCAAATCTAATGCTTTTCCCACAGCATTATAAATAGAAGACATGTTCCTTGGGAACCCAAATTAGTATTGTGATAGTGTTCAATAATTTTCTTCATGACCCCATTTGGGGATTTCTTGGTAAAGATACAGGAGTTGTTTGCCAATTCCTTCTCCAGCTCATTTTACAGATGAGGAAACTGAGGCCAACAGGGTTAAGTGATTTACTCAAGGTCACACAGCTAGTAAGTGTCTGAGGCTAGATTTGGACTCAGGTCCCCCAGATTCCAGGGCTGGCACTCTGTCTACTGTGCTACCTAGCTGTCCCTCTCAAATTAGTATTATAGAATATTAAAATAGAAAATTAAAATCATAAAAATATAGAACATGAAAATCAATTCATTGAAATTGAGACCATAATAGGGCTGGCCAGGACTGGATGGGGCTGCCTGAATATTGAATAAGTGTAGACATCTGATATATCCTGTTGTCAGTGAATAACTATAATCACACCTCACATTTATCTAGCACTCTAAGGTTTGCCAAGGGTTTTGCATATAGTTTGAGGCACCCAGATGAGGCAGTGGATGGAGTACCATCCTGTTGCCCATAGTACCAAGCTGCTTCCTCTACCAATGCAAATTGGCATCTCCCCTGCCACTTCTAGTCTTACAGACCTTCCTAGGACATTGAGAAGGTGAGTGACTTGCCCAGGCAAACTTGAATCCAGGTCTTGGCTACCTATTCACTATGCCAAATACAGTGATGTAGACGAGGGGGCAGGAAAAGGATGAAGGGAGGGAAGTCCTGACTACATATGGCTAGAGGAGCTTTTTCTTTTCTTCTAAGACTACTTGCTCCCACAGAGGAAACTGACCAGAAAAAAAGCCCATTTGCCTATTGGTCAATAGGATCCCTTGCAATGCTGTACTTTAATAATAATAACCCCTTGGAGCAGGTAGGTGGTGCAGTGGATAGAGCACTGGCCCTGGAGTCAGGAGGACCTGAGTTCAAATCCAGCCTCAAACACTTGATACTTACTAGCTGTGTGACCCTGGGCGAGTCACTTAACCCCATTGCCTAGCCAAAATAATAATAATAATAATAATGACCCCAGTTCTCTGACAAGTTTAAAGAATATGTTCAAATTTAACTTTTGTACAGCCCCTCCTAAGTAAGCTCTACAAATCTCCATCATACTAGGCAGTTTCCAGAGGTAGGCAACCACTGCTACCCCTCTTCCCCTCCCTTATCTCTTTAAGAAAAGTACCCAAAGTGCACACAACCCTAAAGGATTCCGGGCAAATGCCTTATTGTTCTACTACGGGGCTTATGCAAAGATGCCATCTGAAAAAGAATGTCTTTTTTGCAATACAGAAGCATTCTAGTCAACTCTTTTCAGTGACATGGCCAAGGTATATTCTTGTAAAGGAAGAACAGAACCCAATATATCATTGGATTTATAGTGCTCCTTTCAAAGAGACTAAAGTGCTATTTACATCAACTAACTCATCTCTAACAACACCCCCCCCATTTGTCCAGGCATACCACCGTCTAATATCTTTAACTGGTTCCTCAAAATAGGTAAATTAACATTGTAGGGGGGAAAAACAACAATAATGACAACTACTACAACAAAAGTCCATATTGCAGAGGTCAATTAGTTCCATGGCAACAGTGTTATAAATAGAAGATGTTCCTTGGGAGTCCAAATTAGTATTATAGACTTTAAAATCGGTTGATACTGAGAACTGAGACTGTGAGAGTCTGGACTAGGCCAGATGGGGCTGCTTGAATGTCCAATAAGTGTAGACAACTTATAGACCAAGTTTATCAGAGAATAATTATAATGATATTTCACTTTTATCTAGCGCTCTAAGGTTTGCCAAGGGCTTTACATATAGCTGGAGGCACTTAGGTGAGGCAGTGGAAAGACACAGAGTCAGAAAATCTGAGTTCAAATCTGGCCTTAGAGTCACCTGTTAGCTTTGTGACCCAGGGCAAGTTAATTAACTATTGTCTGCCTCAGTTTCCTCATCTGTAAAATGGAGATAATAATAGCACTTACCTCTCAAGGTTGTGATGAGGATAAAAGATATCTGTAATGTTCTTTACAGACTTTTTAAGGCACTAATAAATGCTAGGTATATAAATGTATATATATACACACATTTATTGATATACACATGCATATAAAATTTGTTCCTCACAACAAATTTGTGAGGCAAGTGCTATTATTTTCCTATTTTACAGAAGAATCTAAAATTACCCTTGTAGCTCATGGCCTCAGAGTAACATGTTCAGGGCCAAAAGACTGATAAACGTGAAAAAGCCACCTAAATGACCAAATTGAAGGATGCATATGGCAGGTTCTGTACATGTGTACATGCATGTATGTATGTCTTACGCTGATTTATTATGAAATACTCATTGGGGGTGGTGAGCTGATAGAGGAGCCTGCCCATAAAGGCTTCATCATCAGGATCCTTGGCAGTGATATTGGCAACAATAGTTCCAGGGCTCAGCTCCTCTGGAATTCTATAAATTCTTATTGAGCTGAAACACAAATACAGCAGAGAAGCAAGTCAGTGATTGGAGGACTGGGGGTGGTGGCAGTCTAGATTAGTAGCTAGAGGGAAAGTGAGGCAAGCATTCACACTCTCTCCACCCAATGTCTGGACCCGATTCTCTGGAATTTCATAGGGAATTCTTCCAAAGGTCAACCCAGAAGGGCTGTGGATGCTGCCACAGCCCTTGTATCAATATAACTGCATAGCTGCATCTGAGAAATTGAAATCCAGTTGTGATGAAACAAGTTCTACTTTAATAAAGGGAGTCTGTTTCAAAACAATAACAACCATAACAGTAAATCCTGCAAGGCAATGTTTTGGTAATACAAATCATCACCCCTAGTTTATCTGGATTATAAATATGAATTCTCATGAAGTATAAACACACTTCAGAATTCTATGTAGTACCTTGATTCTATTGCATTCAAAGCTTTTGGGGGTTTTAACATTTTTTTTTTTTGCTGAAATTAAACACCAAAGTGGGAGAATGGGAATGTGTGTGTGTGTGTGTGTGTGTGTGTGTGTCTGTGTGTCTGTGTGTAGAGAGACAGAGACAGAAACAGAGAGAGAATAACAGAAACAGAAGATTGTACATAAATCTACAGGACTCTATTTTGTATAGCTCTATTATGCAATAGGTGACCTAAGCTGGACTTGGCATAAGGAAGAAGAGAGTTCAAATCCTGCCTCCTGACTGTGTTACCCTGGGCAAGTAACTTCATTTATTTGTGCCTCATTTTCCTCATGTGTAAAATGGAATAACATCTACTTCACAAGATTGTTGTGAGGAACAAATGAGATAATTAAACTCATGAAAATTAATGAGTTCAATAAGAAGTTTCATTCCAATGGCAGAGACCACACCCCAAGGGGAATATTAGCCAAGGGAATGAGGTATGATCTAGGAAGTCACAAAAATGGTGAGTAGAGCTATAGAGCGGTCCACCATGAGCACATCCTTTCCAGAAGCAATGGTAGTGGCTCAGTTCTAAGAGCAAGAGATGGAGAGAGGGGGCTGATATACTCAGCAAGGCAGAAAACAGCCTGGGTGAAGAGGACTCATGATCACAGGGAACAGAGGGCTGAGAAGTTTAGCTCTTCCCTGGCAAGGCCTCCAGCGGGTAGGGCAAGAGCAGAAACAAGATGGGTAGAGTTAGGAGAGACCTGGGTTCAAGCTCTGCCCTCTCACTCATACCTGTGTGGCCCTGGACATGTCACTTCTCAGTGCCCCATTAGCAATTTTATATTGGTTATAACATAGGCTTTTACATAAACCCTTAATAAATGTTTGTTTGAATTGAATTAGATAATGCACTGCTTGATAAAATAAACAACAGCAACACCCTAAAGAATTTCTACTTTTTAGGCCTTGATAGACCCTGCCAAAACATGCAGCTGTTTACAAACATGTTTGCTCTTGCATGGGCAGAGCATCTGGGCAACTGACAGCCTCATCATTTTCCATCTGGATGATTGGGTGTCATCTGAAGAAAACCTCTGCTAGTTTCTTTTCCTAAACCTAAAAGGAGAGCAATGAAAAAGGTTCCTGACAGATCTCAAGGGTGAGAAAACACCCAGCCAGGGTGCTGCTATCTGTGAATTATACTGTGAGTCAATCACCTGACTTAGGGACGATTTAGTACGAGCCAAGCACCTTTACAAATTCTGTCTCTTATGAACTCTGAAAGCCAACTCACCTTCCCCTTTGAGATCCTGTTAACCTGATTTTCCACCTCCCTGATTAAAGTAGTGCAGCAGAATGCACTCGGCTCAAGTCACACTTCACCTTTTGCAAAAGGGTTGTTTGTGCGTCAGCAGTGATGTACGGTGACAGTTCCTGACCCTGCATCCAGTCTTTGATGTCACAACCTATTTATAAATAGGCCATGCTATGTGCTCAGGGATGTGGGATGTCAGCTACAATCCCCATCCCTATCTGTCTAGTTTTCATCTGGGAACCAGCAACGATGTGTTGTTTGGCTCCTTCTGGAAGGCACTAAATGGGGGTTTGCTTCAAATTGTCTCACCTAAGCTTAAACCAGACAAATTTTTCACCATTCAGGCATCCAGGAGTTTCATATTTAAGGTATGAGTGCTAAGGTGAAGGACTGAAATGTCAACAGCATTAAAGTGGAGGTCACAGGATTATAAATGGAGAGCTTGAAGGGATTATCCAGCCCACTTTACAGATGAAGAAGGTTAAGTGACTTACCCAAAAATGATACTACAAATAACATCCCCATTTTACAGATGGGCAAACAGGGTAAGCAAAGTTAAATGACTTTGTCCATAATCACAGAACACTTAAGTGTCAGAGGTGGGATTAGGGATAATAGGTCAATAGGTGGAAGGCCATCTAGTCCAATCTCTCATTTTACAGAGGAGGCGATTGAGGGCCAACTTGTCCAAGGTTACCCAGCTCGTAAGAGACAAAGGCAGATTCTGTACTCTGGTTGTGACTCCAAAGCTCACTCTCTTTCCATCATGCAACAACGTCTCTCAATTTCCTGCCTTCCAGTCCAGCACTCTATCCACTTATACCAGGCTGCCTTTCATCTTACCTTGGCTTTATTCACATCTGCAAACGTAGTTAAACTGAGCAACTGTTTTTCACATTTTCCTAGTGACTAACTGGTCTCTTGCATGTGTTTTTGGGGACCAAAGAGACAGGCAATAAAAGATACTGTGCCTCTGTAGCCAAATAAAAAAAGTACGCTAGGGTAGGACTTCAAAGGTGGAATAAGAAAGATCAGAGCATGTAATGGTGACTATGCCCACTGGGTTAAGTCATCAAATAAAATTATATCCTTTCCCCATTACCCAAAAATAGACACCAGGCCTTCCTCCCCACAGGGAACCATCCCAACATCTATTTTCCCAAAAAGTCTGGGAAATGAAAAATATAAAAGCCTGGAGCCGGAATGAATTGATGAGAGAGACAGGCAGACAGACAGAGATAGAAAAACAGAGACAGAGAGACTGGGACAGAGACACAAAAAGAGACAGAGTCCAAGAGAGACACACAGAGAGAAACAGAGACAGAGAAACTGAAAAATCAGCCATTGTTTTCTTGTCTTTCCCTTAGGATAAAGTAAACACAGGTCAGCAAGCATGAAAGCTCTTTGAAATTGTGCCTCTCCACTTCCCCACCTCAGTGAGGGATGTCTTGCAAAGAACCAGAATAGGAGAAGGGGTGAGTTTTGGGCTTACCTGGTAAAGTAAGGACTTTCATCATTAACATTTATGACGTTTACTAGGAATGTTCTTGTGGCTTTAAGCCCCCCACTGTCTTCTACTTCCACATCAATCACGTAACTGTCAGGGAGGAATAAACCCGAGTTAAGGTTTCATATTTTAGGTAATTGTGAAAAATGGGGTGAGAGGGAATGGTGAGAGATGATCCTCTTCTCTTCCCTCAGTTACCAAGTGTTGCTTTTCCCCATAGCAGCAAAAGAGCACCAAAGATAAAAATGAAAGCTAAGATGTTAGCATAGTTCATACAATAACAGATATAAAATTGGGAGGCACCTCAGAAGTCATCTAGTCCAAAGACCTCATTTTACAGATGAGGAAACAGATCTGGGAAGATTAAGAGATTTGCCCAAGGTCACGTAGAGAGAAAGTGGCAATGAGGTATTCAAACTCAGATCCTAGGACTATAGATTTAGTGCTTTTGGATAAGATTTGAGCAAAAACAAAACAAAACAAAACAAAACCCAGAGTAAGGTACAGGCAGGAGAGGAAATTGCCCATTTAGTAATGTGACATTATGACCATCCTCTACTTTTTCTATCTTTCCAGGACCCTTTCTCCATTTCTCTTCCTTGTCGCTTATTCTTTCCTCCTGAGTAACTCGCCTATACGCTGGAATCTTACCTGCAGTCATCTCACTGGTGCTTTGTCTCTATTTCTCTACTCACAAAGTAGAGTGAAGACCTAAAGTTAGATCCAGCTGATTCAAGAGCCTCACCCTCCCCTTTCCCGATGACTTTTACTGTAGTTATTTGGATGTTTCTGGCAATCATAACTGAGTCAGTGTGAAGGTAGCTCCCCTCACTCTTTTTTTTTTCAAGGTGGATGGAGAAAGGGTGATAGGAGAGGAGGACTGGGCATAGTCATCTAGGTAATTTCCTCAATTTTGCTCTCCATGTTTAGATATCTGAGTGGAGTCCAGGAGGGAAACAGAATACACAGGGTTACACAGACCTTCCTCACTTGGAAAGTTCTGATTTATAATGTTTCCTCTGCCAGTGATTGTTCCTCCTTGAGCTCCTTCCTATCTCCACGAATGCATCCAAACAACCCTAAAAGAAAGAGCATTGGCCCTACCTGTTGTGTCCTGCTTCAAAATCGAATGTTGTTGTGGAGAAAAGGATGCCATTTGTAGAGACATTGAAGTGCTTCAAGGGAGAGATCAAAGAAAACTAAAAAAAAAAAAAATACTGAGTGAGAGGCAGTGCTTCTTCTCTTTCTTTTTGTTTGTTTTTTATTTTTTTGTTAGGCAATGGGATTAAGTGACTTGCCTAGAGTCACACAGTTAGTAAGTGTCAAGTGTTTGGACAGGTCATCCTGACTCCAGGGCCAGTACTCTATCTACTTTGCCACCTAACTGCCCCCTTTTCTTTTTTTTATAATTCATTTATTTATTTTTAGTTTTTAACATTCACTTTCATAAGATTTTGAGTTTTAAATTTTCTCCCCCTCCATTTCTTCCTCCCTCCCCAATATAACATGCAATCTGATATAGGCTGTACTTATATACATTCACATTAAACATTTTCACATTAGTCATGATGTAAAGAAGAATTAGAACTGATGGGAGGACCCAAGAGAATGAAGCAATAAAACAAAACAACAAAAGAAAAGGAGAGCAAATAATATGCTTCCATCTGCATTCAAACCCCATAGTTCTTTCTCTGATTGTGGATAATATTTTCCATCATGAGCCTTTGGAATTGTCTTAGATCCTTGCATTGCTGAGAAGAGCTGAGTCTATCAAAGTCAGTCATCACACGATGTGGCTATTACTGTGGACAGTGTTCTCCTGGTTCTGCTCATTTTATTTTGCATCAGTTCATGTAAGTCTTTCCAGGTTTTTCTGAGAGTATCCTGCTTGTCATTTCTTATAGCACAATAGTATTCCATTACTACCATATACAGCAACTTGTTCAGCCATTCCCCAGTTGATGAGCATCCCCTCAATTTCCAATTCTTTGCCACCACAAAAAGAGCTGCTATAAATATTTTTGTACATGTGGGTTCCTTTTCCCATTTTTATGATCTCTCTGGGATACAATCCTAGAAGGGGTATTGCTAGGTCAAAGGGTACGCACAGTTTCATAGCCCTTTAGCCATAGTTCCAAATTGTTCTCCAGAACTGTTAGATTAGTTCACAACTCCACCAATAATGCATTAGTGGTCCAATTTTCCCACATTTTCTCCAACATTTTTCATTTTCCTGTTTTGTCATATTAACCAATCTGATAGGTGTGATATGGTACCTCAAAGTTGTTTTGATTTGTATTTCTGTAATCAATAGTGATTTACAGCATTTTTATACGACTATAGACAGCTTTAATTTCTTCCTCTGAAAACTGCCTGTTCATATTCTTTGACAATTTATCAATTGGGGAAAGACTTGTATTCTTATAAATTTGACTCAGTTCTCTATATATTTTAGAAATGAGGCCCTTATCAGAGACAGGCAGTGTCTCTTTTCACCAAAGGCATATTTGTATAGTCACTGTAAACTAGTGACTGAACAAATAGTCTTGGTCAGTAGAATACCCTTGGTTGTTCTGGAATGACCTCCCAAAATAGCAATTCTCAGACTTAATAGTTTCTTGGCTAGGAGCTATCAGAATTTGCCAAATGCATTGAGGTGCTGCCCTGGGAAGGAAGCCATTGGCTCATGCAACAAGATGACTATAAAAGGTGTCCAGTCTGAAAGAGACCTTGCTTCAATTGAAAGCCCCCTTGTTATTGGCACGTTGTGACTACTTCTGTTTTCCTACATACATACCTGGCTTTGCCCCCATTCACTGCCTTGGCTTCATCTCTGGTGTCTGTGTGCTTCCTGGCTCTGATTTGTCTACTTTGGCCCTCCTGAGGCCTAGCTTGTCACTCTATCTCAGGGACAGCCCAGCATGAGAGGGATACCCTGGCTTGTGTGCTAGTACACAAGGGACCAATCCAAAGAAAATACAAAGCCCCGCCATCTGTCAGTGCTCAGTAAAATTCACCCTGGTTCCAGATAGGGCCTTAATATGTGGATCAGATAATCTGATTCTGGCTATAGTCACTACTCATTAACCAGGGGTTTCTAGCGCAGTTACTAGACTACTCAACTCAGTGCCCAGTGGGAAAGAGAGAGAGTGCACAGAAAATAGAGTGAAAAGTTCCTTTGAGGTCAGCTTAAAGTTCTCATGCTCTGTTTTTGACAGAGACACTTCATAATGCCAAAAAGAATAATTCCGGTAGATAGGATTAGACAGATGAAAGATCCTAGGCTACAGAACTGGGAGGGACCTTGGAGTTCAATTACTCCAAGAGCTCCTAACTTAAGGTCCATGAACTTGTTTTTTAAAAAAATACTTTGATAACTATATTTCAATATAATTGGTTTCCTTGGTTAAGCTATGCATTTTCTTCTACTCATTTAAAAACATTCTGAGAAGGGGATCATAGGCTTCAGCCAGACTGACAAAGGGATCCATAATACACACAAAAAGGTTAAGAATACCTGAACTAGTCCAACCCTTTATTTGATAGGTAAGAAAGGTGAGACCCAAAGAAGTTAAGTAATTTGCCCATGGTAATAACAGATAATAAACACCAGAGATGGAATGTGAATTTGGGTCCTCTGACCATACCAAAAAAAAAAAATCTGTATCTTGTCGTCTGCTTATTTCTCTGCGTGGAATTGCCTTGAAGGTTCCTTACACACATAATTTTTCCATACATCCCCTACCCCTTGTTTCATCTAATACAGACCTGCACAACTTGACAGTAGGTAGGGGCCAAAATTAAAATGGGATAAACTTCTTCGGGCTGCAGATAGGGTTTTAGTGGTTCACTTTTCAAGTAAAGGTATAATTAATGATTCAACTATTTTAAAAATAAACCAAAATTTTTTTTAAAAAGGGAAATTTTAATTAATATCAATTAATTATACTTATTACTTAAGATTTTTGTTTATCATAACATCACATTAATGTTAAAAAAATTACTTTGCTAAGCAGTACAAGTTTTAATACATTTTTCAGGTTTTCTTACTATTTACATTTAGATAATGGGACATATTACACTTCTTGTCAACAATCAGTTTATCGTACTCTGGAATCATGTTTGAAATTGATTTCTTTAGAAATCTGAAAACTAACCTTAGTAGCCACCTCATTTTCTGAGTTCACTTCTTGAAAAACCATTGTGCCCCACTGAGATTTTTCAACAATTTGGGTTCTTTACTTTGTTTTTCATTGGTGTCCAATTTGCTTAAATCAAGATGCTTTGATTTGAAATGGCGATGAAGATTGTATTCCTTTGGAACGGTTATTACTTCTCCACAAACAAGGCACAATGTTTTGTCTCTCATGTAAGTAAACAAGTATCTATTTGTCCACTCCGGATTAAAAACTCTGTGTTCTGATTTGATCTTCTGTTCCTTTTTATCACTCATTTTACAAAGTCACCCCCAAAACTTTAGTGCTAAAACCAAAAAAAAATCTCCGCAGCAACTGCACACATACAAAGAAATTCTGAACTAAGTGTCTGACCTTGGAGAGAGCACCAGACACTCGTATAACTAGGAGGGTGGCCATAGTGAGGAAAAGGAAGACGCCCTCAAGTTGCTGCCACCCATCGCATAGCGGCCATCAGCTGCCTTGGTGCAAGGCTGCACTCACTTTGTCCCTATTCAACACCAGTAATGACAGCAAACACAACAAAAAGATAAGACTCTCACTCCTCAAAGACCAGAGACAGACGGACGATGATTAGATGTCATGGGTCATGTGACAAATAGGAGCGAACGCGCAGTGGCAACCTACCCGCCAAGTTACATGACAGGCACAATAGTGACTAGTAGAAGATGGGTTAAGCCGGGCATGGACAAAGCACTCTTTAGATCTTTACTTTCTTTTACATCCTCTACATTTTTGGTGGGCTGCCTGAAATCATTGTTGTGCAGGCCTGGTCCAATACAATCTAAGCACAGTTAAGAAGCAAATAATGACACCAACAATTTGGATGAAATCTACCCTCTTACTTAAATCCTGGGCCCTGGAGAAAATGTTTGCAAAGCCCTAGGCCAGGGGTGGGGAACCTGCAGCCTCAAAGCCACGTGTGGCCCTCTAGGTCCTCAAGTGCAGCCCTTTGACTGAATTCAAACTTCACAGAACAAATCCCCTGAATAAAAGGATTTGTTCTGTAAAACTTGGACTCAGTCAAAAGGCTGCACTCAAGGACCTAGAAGGCCACACGTGGCCTCAAGGCCACAGGTTCCCCACCCCTGAGCCTCAGCCATCAGACATCAGACTCCTCTGTATAGTTTCTTGAATTAGAGAGGAAACTCCCATGGAGTAAATAAAAAACAATGGGAGATGTTTTGGACAGACAGTAGACGAAAGACTCGGATTTGAGTCCCAGATCTGCCACTCATTAGTTCTTTGACTTCAGGGGATCAATCAATCAACAAGCATTTATTAAGCACTTACTACATGCCAGGCACTTGGTGTTAAGCACTGGGGATATAAGGACGAAAGTGAAACAAGTCACAGCCTCTGCAATCTTGTTTCTTCATTTGTAAAATGGGGTGATAATGCTTGTCCTACCTAAATCAATCAACAAGACTTTATTAAGCAAGTATTCTATGCCAGGCATTGTGTTAGATGCTAGGGGATACAGAGATGAAAGTGAAACAGTCCCTTCTCTAAAGAAACTTAAATTCTATCAATGGGAAGCAACATGTACTCACATTTACAAACGGACACACACACACACACACACACACATACACAAGGTCATTTTAGGGACAGACACTAGCAACTGGGTGAATCAGGAAAGGCTTCAGGTAGGAGGTGGTATATAAGATGAGCTTTGAAGGTAACTGAGGATTCTGTGAGGTGGAGGTAAGGAGGGTTTGTATACCAGGTATGAGGCACAGCCAGTGTAATGGCATGGAGATGGGATATGTATTGTCATATGTGAAGAACAGTGAGATGACCAGTTTAGCTGGACCAAAGAGAGCATGAAGGACATTAATGTGTAATAAATCTAGAATGTTAGTTTGGAGTCATGTTGTAAAGGTCTTGAAATGCCAACAGAGGTGTTTGTATTTGATCCTAGTTGATAGGAAACCACTGGGGTTTACTAATCAGGGCAATGGCATGGTCAGACCTGTGATTTAGTAACATCACTTCAGTAG